AAAATTTGGGTTTGGGGGGGGGAGGGGGGGGAGGTGGGGGGTTAGGTAATCTTCAGGCCACAAATGTGCATTTTAACACAAACAAAAATGAAAAAAACCTTCTCTGGCAGTGAAAGGGTTGAAGCAGACCTGACCCTCCACACATCTGCTGGAAGGATTTCTGTTGTTTGTGTTTTCTGTCAATAAAACTTCTTCCTCTTTCTCCAACAAATTTTTGCCTGCGGTGCCCTTTAGTATGAAACATTGATGAATCAGGTGGGGGGAGGGAGGGGGGGAGTGCCCCCACTGGCGTCAAAATGTGGGAGAAGCGCCGGAGTGCTCGGCTTAAACTCCGATCCGGCGTCACTTTTGTCTGTTGGAGACCCCAGAGGAAGAGTTGCTTAGACATCCATCAGGAGGCGGAGCTGTGACACAACTGCAGACTCCGAGGATGGTTCTGCGGGGGTATGGAGTCACCGATAGAGACAGGAGATGTCTGCAGAGATGAAGCGGATCCGAAAGCCGCAGTAACAACTTTCATTCCCATTTACATTGCCGCCATTTTGTCTTTTTTCCGTGCTGTGTGACGCACCTCACCGCTTTCCTCCGACCCGCAGATGACGTCACACAACTCGTTCTCCATCTACCGGTCCGTGGACGAGGATGAGGCCGCGCTGCACATTGAGGACGCTCCTGAGGCCAGGAAGACGCCAACTTCGAGAAGCTCCAGGATCTGGGACCTCCCGACGTGGCAGAAAATCGCCATCGCCGCCATTGTCGCAGCGTGCGTCGGTGAGATCTGCTCTAATGGGATTTAACACTTAGAAAAGAAATAGGGGAACCTGCTGACCTGTTTTTAGAGGTGCAGAATTTGGGGGGCTGCTGACACTCTGAGCACACATAGAGTACAGCCAACACAGAGCGTACACACAGACAGAGCACACACACTTACAGAGCACACACACTCACAGACAGAGCACACACACAGACAGAGCACACACACTTACAGAGCACACACACTCACAGACAGAGCGTACACACAGACAGAGCACACACACTTACAGAGCACACACACTCACAGACAGAGCACACACACTTACAGAGCGCACACAAACTCACAGACAGAGCACACACATTTACAGAGCACACACACTTACAGAGCACACACACACAGACAGAGCACACACACTCACAGACAGAGCACACACACAGACAGAGCACACACACTTACAGAGCACACACACTCACAGACAGAGCACACACACAGACAGAGCACACACACTCACAGACAGAGCACACACACTTACAGAGCACACACACTCACAGACAGAGCGTACACACAGACAGAGCACACACACTTACAGAGCACACACACTCACAGACAGAGCACACACACTTACAGAGCGCACACAAACTCACAGACAGAGCACACACATTTACAGAGCACACACACTTACAGAGCACACACACACAGACAGAGCACACACACTCACAGACAGAGCACACACACTTACAGAGCACACACATTTACAGAGCACACAAACTAACAGACAGAGTACACACATTTACAGAACACATACAGTTACAGAGCACACACACTTACAGAGCACACACACTTACAGAGCGCACACAAACTCACAGACAGAGCACACACATTTACAGAGCACACACACTTACAGAGCACACACACACTTACAGAGCACACACACATTTACAGAGCACACACACACATTTACAGAGCACACACACTTCTAGACAGAGAACAGTGCACACACACTTACAATCAGAACACACACACTTACATTCAGAGCACACATGCTCACAGTCAGAACACTCACAGACAGAGAACACGCACTTAAATTAAGAGCACACATACTGACAGTCAGAGAACATATAACATGCACAGAACACAAAAACAATTTACAATACTAAATAAACAACATGCGGCTCCAGCCGAGGCTTAAAAACATATATCATAAATAATGATCACAGTACATACACTGGAAGGAGTATTATATGCTACATAACAGAGAACCCGATATATAAATAAACAAAACGTAGCAAAGATAAATAGATACAATGTAACGAATGCAAATACTTCAATTCACAGCGCGCCATCTAGTGGCCGAACTGATAAATTACAACCTACTATAATAGCCATCATTAAAGGAGAGCTATGAGGGGAGTGATTTTTACTGATAGTTGGAGCCGACGTGTGACAATGAAACTGTCACACGTCGGCTCTATTGATCGGGAAGTGAGCGAAGACATACCGTCGCTCGCTCACTTCCCCATATTGTTGGGAACCGTCCCGGCTGCGGCACTCTCAGTAAATAGCGGGCAATAACCCGCTATATTCTGAGCTTTGGGACACGGGAGGAGGTTAGTTTATGTCCTCCTGTGACCCTAAGAGAATTATAGGATAAAAAGGTTACCCCATAGTAATATTTTTATATTTTGTAGGTGTTGGTGGTTATATCTAGTTGGTGTCACATGACTTATTATTCTGGCTTTTGGGTGTTTCATTTGGTTTTGCCGGTTACAAATAAACCGTATATAACACATTTGCTTTGTCCGGTGTGGTCATACGTGTTTGGTCTTCCCGTGTGGGGACACCTGTGCACGGACCCATGACAAAATCCCCGATGGGTCTCCGGTGGGCAATCCTCTTCTTGCTGGTTGGCTCATTGGACTGGCGAGTGTCCAATGAGGGAAGGGAAGATTTGGGGGTCTCTTGGGGTTTGGCTGGTCGTAAGAGACTAGCCAAGCAAAAGACTCCAAACATAACGTGTCCCTCCATTATCTACCCCCAGCCTTCATCCTCGGATACCTGGCCACACGCAGACCATGTGCGGCATGTGTGACTAACGGCCCCGACAATGAAATGGTGTCCGAAGACTACCTGCAGCAGGAACCAAAGACGATGGATTGGGCAGACCTGAAGGATTTATTCAATCAGTTCCTAAAGAATGGACAACAGATCGAAAGTACAATAAGGTGACACAGAGAAACCCAAAAGAAGGGGGCTGTCCTCCTCCTGCAGGGTGATACAGACAGAAGGGAGCTATGAGTCTGTCCTCCTCCTGCAGGGTGATACAGACAGAAGGGAGCTATGAGTCTCCTCCTCCTGCAGGGTGATACAGACAGAAGGGAGCTATGAGTCTGTCCTCCTCCTGCAGGGTGATACAGATAGAAGGGGCTATGAGTCTGTCCTCCTCCTGCAGGGTGATACAGACAGAAGGGAGCTATGAGTCTGTCCTCCTGCAGGGTGATACATAGAAGGGGGCTATGAGTCTGTCCTCCTCCTGCAGGGTGATACAGACAGAAGGGGGCTATGAGTCTCCTCCTCCTGCAGGGTGATACAGACAGAAGGGAGCTATGAGTCTCCTCCTCCTGCAGGGTGATACATAGAAGGGAGTTATGAGTCTCCTCCTCCTGCAGGGTGATACAGACAGAAGGGAGCTATGAGTCTCCTCCTCCTCCTGCAGGGTGATACATAGAAGGGAGCTATGAGCCTCCTCCTCCTGCAGGGTGATACAGACAGAAGGGGCTATGAGTCTCCTCCTCCTGCGCGGTGATATAGACAGAAGGGAGCTATGAGGCTCCTCCTCCTGCGCGGTGATATAGACAGAAGGGAGCTATGAGTCTCCTCCTCCTGCGCGGTGATACAGACAGAAGGGAGCTATGAGTCTCCTCCTCCTGCGCGGTGATACAGACAGAAGGGAGCTATGAGTCTTCTCCTCCTGCAGGGGGATACAGACAGAAGGGGCTATGAGTCTCCTCCTCCTGCAGGGTGATACAGACAGAAGGGGCTATGAGTCTCCTCCTCCTGCAGGGTGATACAGACAGAAGGGGCTATGAGTCTCCTCCTCCTGCAGGGTGATACAGACAGAAGGGGCTATGAGTCTCCTCCTCCTGCGCGGTGATACACTCCTGCGGGTAACATTAATTGACATTTTTCATGCATTGTGTTCTGCACAGGAAGTTCTCCAGAATTCCTCACCCATCCGGATCCCTTGAGAATCAGAATTTGGCGGACGATATCCTCCAGCAGTTCAGGAATTTCCCTGTTGACCACACCTGGGTGGAGAGTCATTACGCCACATTGCAGTTTCCTAACCGGTAATTATATGCTCCGCTAATGACCCGTCCTAGTGACCCCGCTCCGTCCATCACACGTCTTTGCTCCCTCCTCAGGGCTCGCCCCAATACAGTGAAGATCATTGGTGCTGACAATGAAACTCTTGAAGTCTTTCCATTTCAAGAACAGGACCCGTACTGCCCGTACAGCGCCGTGGCCACTGCTAAGGTGAGTGCAGACTATTGGGATCCTAGTAGTAGCATTGGTGACATTCATCTGCTGATTCCCTCCAGCATTCTGCAGGATTGTCACATTGTATCTCTTGTTACTGAGAAGTATTTATTCCCTGTGATCCTCAGCGCCCTCTAGTGGCCATAATGAGGTATTGTCCTGATTCACTCTGTGCTGTTTATGAATTAACTTATTTTTACTACTACCCAATAGCAAAGAGCGAACCCCAAACCCAGAATCTCCACACCCACAATCTCCACACCCAGAATCTCCAAACCCAGAATCTCCACACCCAGAATCTCCACACCCACAATCTCCACACCCAGAATCTCCAAACCCAGAATCTCCAAACCCAGAATCTCCACACCCAGAATCTCCAAACCCAGAATCTCCAAACCCAGAATCTCCAAACCCAGAATCTACAAATCCAGAATCTCCACACCCAGAATCTCCAAACCCAGAATCTCCAAACCCAGAATCTCCACACCCAGAATCTCCAAACCCAGAATCTCCAAACCCAGAATCTCCAAACCCAGAATCTCCAAACCCAGAATCTCCAAACCCAGAATCTCCAAAACCCAGAATCTCCACACCCAGAATCTCCACACCCAGAATCTCCACACCCAGAAGGAAGCTCCTTCCAGTGCCACCCAATCAGCTGCAGTCCCCACCCACAGCTAAACTTAGGCAAAGGGGGGGATTATGTCGCATCAATGACCTTATATGGCCACAGGGCTATAATTGGTCAATGGTGTCAGCACCAGCATCCCGCCCCCTTTGTTTATGTGCAGCTGAGGGAGTGGGGAATGCCCCAGCCTGCAGCTGAGTGGGCTGGTTGCCTCTCTAGTGTATTTTATAAGTCTCTCTCTCTCTCCAGGCAGGACTAGTGTATTATACATGTCTCTCTCTCTCCAGGCAGGACTGGTGTATTATACATGTCTCTCTCCAGGCAGGACTGGTGTATTATACATGTCTCTCTCCAGGCAGGACTGGTGTATTATACATCTCTCTCTCTCTCTCTCTCTCTCTCCAGGCAGGACCTGTGTTTTATACATGTCTCTCTCTCTCTCTCCAGGCAGGACTGGTGTATTATACATGTCTCTCTCTCTCTCCAGGCAGGACTGGTGTATTATACATGTCTCTCTCTCTCTCGAGGCAGGACTGGTGTATTATACATGTATCTCTCTCTCTCCAGGCAGGACTGGTGTATTATACATGAATACATGTATCTCTCTCTCTCCAAGCAGGACTGGTGTATTATACATGTATCTCTCTCTCTCCAGGCAGGACTGGTGTATTATACATGTCTCTCTCTCTCTCTCCAGGCAGGACTTGTGTATGTGAACTATGGGAGGAAGGAGGACTTCGTGGCGCTGAGGTCCTGGAAAGTGAAAGTCACAGACAACCTGGTGATTGTGAGGACGGGGATTATCACCTTTGCAGAGAAGGTGAGCCGGGTGTCCCCGAGGAGTCAGGAATATATCCATTTCCTGTGTCAGGGTCCTCACATTGATTTCTACTCGCCGTGTCTTCTAGGTGTACAACGCTGAACGGGCCGGAGCCCTGGGAGTCCTGATATTCCCGGACATGGATAGAAGCGCAGTGTATGGACATGTGAGTACTGCACCAACCCACATACATGTGTTACATACCACAGACTATGATATGGTGGCTGCATTTTCTGCATGTCTTCATTCTCGCCTGGTGATCCTGCCGATAACACACTTCCTGTCCGACAGTGGCAACGCTCATTCCTCCATTGCATGTACAGGGGAAGCCATGGTTGTCACCCAAGCTGGACTTCAAGCATGTCTGCCTTTTGTTTATCTTTATTACACATGGTAATAATATGAAGCTTCACACTCTGTGCTGTTCTGGGTTGGTCCTGATATCTCCAGGTGGCCTGTGAGGGGTCTCAGGTGGCTGCGCGACACTCAGGTGGGCTGTGCGACACTCAGGTGGCTGCGGGACACTCAGGTGGGCTGTGCGACTCTCAGGTGGGCTGTGCGACACTCAGGTGGGCTGTGTGAAGGGCTCTCAGGTGGGCTGTGCGACCCTTAGGTGGGCTGTGCGACTCTCAGGTGGGCTGTGCGACACTCAGGTGGGCTGTGCGACACTCAGGTGGGCTGTGCGACTTTCAGGTGGGCTGATGCGACTTTCAGGTGGGCTGTGCGACTTTCAGGTGGGCTGTGCGACTTTCAGGTGGGCTGTGCGACTCTCAGGTGGGCTGTGCGACACTCAGGTGGGCTGTGTGGCTTTCAGGTGGGCTGTGTGACTTTCAGGTGGGCTGTGCGACTCTCAGGTGGTCTGTGTGACTCTCAGGTGGTCTGTGTGACTCTCAGGGGGTCTGTGCGACTCTCAGGTGGTCTGTGTGACTCTCAAGTGGTCTGTGTGACTCTCAGGTGGTCTGTGTGACTCTCAGGTGGTCTGTGCGACTCTCAGGTGGTCTGTGTGACTCTCAGGGGGTCTGTGCGACTCTCAGGTGGTCTGTGCGACTCTCAGGTAGTCTGTGCGACTCTCAGGTGCTTTGCGCATGTGCGGGGAAGCGGGTCCAGAGAATATACAGTCAAGGCGCCTGCATTTTACGTATATTTTGATTATGTGTTAAGTGATACGGTTGTAGACGTCTTGGCTGTGAATTGTGTAACGCTAGTGGCTTCCCCCGCACAGGCGCTCGTGTGTTCCTGTTTGGCTGGTCTGTGAATTTTATGGACCCGCTGGCCGGCACATGTGCAATTCTCCATGAAATGTCTGGACCCGTTCAGCCGACGTCCCCTCCATGCCCCACGAGATCAGCTGATCAGAGCTTGCGATTTCATCTGATGCCCCCTTCCACACACCCCCGACGTCCCCGGAAGTAATGTGAGGGTCCAGGTTTCTAACGGGTCCAGTATTCTACCAGAACAACAGAATGAAATAACTTAACAGAGACGTGGACAGAAAAATAAAAATCTAACAGGGGTTCTAACAAGAAAAAATGGGTGTTCAGGGTTAAAGAACTATGAGGTCAGTGTTTTTCCCCCATAGTTCTCCTTAGGGTAACGGGAGGACACAAACTAGCGTCCTCCCGTCACCCTAGGCTCAGTATATAGGGAGCTACAGCTCGCGGTATACTGAGACGCCGCAGCCGGAGCGGATCCCGACATCGATGTCGAGATCCGCCCAGCTGCGTGAGTGACAGCTGGCTCTGCCTATCTAGAGGCAGAGCCAGCTGTACCCGCCCCCTCCACCGTCCGTTCCGCCAGTCAGCGATGGCGGGTCGGAGCGGGGAGGGGGGTATCCAGCCCCTCCCCCTGTCACGGCAGAGAGCAGTGACAGGATCGAGAGGTGAGCGAACGCCGGTATGTGTTCCCTCACCTCCCGATCTACTGAGCCGACCTGTGACAGTCTCATTGTCACAGGTCGGCTAGAACTATGAGGTGAGTGGAAATCACCCCCCCCCCCCATAGTTCTCCTTTAATGGATGACAAAGGATTCCCAGAGCACTGGGAGTGATCCAAAGACTAAGCACAGCAAGTGGCAGATCGCTTTGCAGATTCCTTTGTGCGATTGAAACCTCCACCTGAACCGTGTGATATGATGTGATAAATCGTATTTACTAAGATAATACATTCCTAAATAATAATTATATACCATAGTTCTCCTTTAAGCTTAGAGCTAAAGGTTAGGTTGCAGCTAAGAGATGAGGGTTAGGTTGAGGTTGAAGGCAAAGGATAGGATTGGGGGTTGGGTTATGACAATTTACATGGCACTTTATGGTGACTGACTTGGTAGTATTGGGCCAAAATATCATATTTAATACAAATATTTATTGGTGCCGACACTTCAAGTACTGATGGTATTTATAGGCCTGCGCAAACCCAACACAATTCCGATTTAGGAAGACGCAAGACAATATATTGCTCCAATTCACTCCTCTCCTCTTTCCCGTTCTCTTCCAGGTTCACCTCGGTACCGGAGACCCAAACACACCCGGATTCCCATCATTTAACCACACCCAGTTCCCGCCCTTCAAATCCTCAGGACTGCCCAAAATACCAGCTCAGGCAATAGATAAAAGGACAGCTCTATCTTTACTCAGGTACTACATGTATGCTTCGGAGCCATGCTGGGGGGGGGGGATCGGCAGACGAATGACGAGAGCGCCCAGAGCCACCAATCGGCACCTGACCTCCATTTTGGCCGTTCTGAACGTTAAAAGCAGCATGCTGATAGGTCACTACTTCCTGCAGTGAGCTACTTTCCCATGAACGTGCTTTATATACGTCAGCCCGGTAATCGCAACCTGGAAATGCTTCGGGGTTTGTTTATAAAAAAAAAGTTTGAATCAACTCACGATAAATCTAATTTTGATATTTATTTTTTAAATCCAAAATGTTTAAAGCTGAAGACCAGCCCAATTTTTTTAAATCTGGTTTTGGGCTAAGTAGGATGGGTTAGAGCCTTGGTTCTCCACTGGTGGGTCGTGACCCAAAAGTGGGGCGCAACCCCATGTTCAGTGGGTCACCGCGTGCCTTCCACTTTTCTAGGTGAGGGGTTAACCACACCCAGTTCCCGCCCTTCAAACCCTCGGGACTGCCCAAAATACTAGCTCAGGCAATAGATAAAAGGACAACTCAATCTTTACTCAGGTTCTCACGCCCTACCGCAGCATTGTCAGTTCTCGCGCCAAGCAGCCATTCAAAATATGCCGCCCGGTGCCGAGTGTCAGCTTGAGGTGGGGTGGGATGGGGGTATGGCCACGATTGAGCTCCATCCATACGTGCATCGCATACAGCTCCCTCGCATGTCCTGTAGAGGTGTCTGGATCGGAGTGACGTCACAGTCTGGCTCCCGACACCTCTACAGCAGGCCTTCTTAAACTTTCTCCACTCGTGACCCCTTTTTGGCCGAGGAAATTTTTAAGGGACCCCAACGTCGGTCGGTGTCTCCCCCCTCCCTTAGCGTCAGTCGGTGTCCCCCCCCCCATCCTCCCCCGCAAGCGATGATGGCGGTCGTGGCCGGGGACTCAGATCACGACCCCCCCTGTTCACTTGCGGGACCCCATATGGGGTCGCGACCCACACTTTAAGAAGCAGTGCTCTACATGACATGTGAGGGAGCTGTACAAGCAATGCACATATGGATGGAGCTTCATCACAGCACAACAGCCCGCACTGGACACCAGGCTGAGGATCCACTCCAGTTCTCGTAAGGTAGGGAGACTTGGTGAATGTTAAAAAAATTGTGAGAGTGTGTCAGAGAATGTCTGTGAGTGTGTGAGATTGTGTCTGTGGTTGTGTCTGTCAGTGTTTTTGAGGGCCCGTTCCTACTAGAACAATGCGTTAATCACACAGTCCCATGCGACTAATGCCCCGTACCATGCGACCGCGCATTCTGGTGTGGGAGGAGTGTTGCGTTGCCATTCATTTGAATGGGACCTCAAACCAACCTGCCACTCACACTTCGATCGCCCGCACCAGAACCCTCAGTACCGCAATACCGTGTGTTTCGTTGCGGTGCGACTTAATGACAAAGGACAAATGTGGGTCCTGAGGTTACACTGGAGGAGACACACTGGGTTAGAGTATCATATAGCCATGAGTTATGGGGTCATAGTAGACTGGCCGCTCTCTTTTGTAGATGGTCCTTAGGGGAAACACGTATAAAGGTTAAATCATGGAAGTGGCCAGGGCCGGATTTACTCTCTCTGCTGCCCCAAGGCCAGGTTCCTCAATGCGCCCCCCTACCCTCAGACCCCCCCCCAATCCATGGAGAATGGCAGACCTGCAGGCTGCATACAAGTGATCTCGGCGGCATCGCGGGGATCACTTGTACAAAACAAGCGGCGGCTTCCCCCGCTGTACATTTAGCACTGCTTGCCTAACGCAGGGCTGAATGTAGAGATCAACTACCCGAATTGCATGTCCCCGGGCATGAGGAGATAGGAATTCCACACCTCTGCTCTGGACTCCCACCGGACCAGCGCTGACTCGCCGCTGCTCTCCGCACCGAAGGTAAGCGGAAAAAAAACATAGCGCAAACACCGGGGCATTTTGACAAGTACTTGTCAAAATGCCCTGTTTTTTCCGCCCTCACCCTGCAGCGCCGTAAGGCGCCCGCCTTACTTGCCTTGCGCTAGCGCCGGGCCTGCCTCTGCTGCCCCTCTACTCCCTGCTGCCCCGAGGCCGGGCCTTGGTTGGCCTTGTGGGAAATCCGGCCCTGGAAGTGGCACTCCACCCACAAAAGTCCAGAATAAGATTTAAACTGCAATGGCCAAAGGGAAAGCCGACCGGTTTCATTGGTTGCAAAGGTTCCTCTTCTTCAGTGCTGAATAAAATAGAGGAATGGCTGGACAGTGGAATCAGAAGGATGGATAACCTGTAACAGTCACGTTGGAGGCTTTATGTCTCACTCTAGTTGGGGCAGCAGAACTAGAGGGCTTGGATATCCCTGAACATGGGCGCTTGGTCAACACAAGTGAACCTATTTGTAAAACAACTTACTGAGGATCAGATGCGGCCTAATGTCTGTGACGGTTGATGACTCACTTGGCAGATCAGGAGAATCGGACAACTGAGAAGTTGTGGAAGATTTTGGATCATTAATGACTCGCTTTACGATGGTCTTTGGTACACAAGGCTCATGTAACGCTATTCTTGTTCCTTTACAGTGCACTCGACGGCATAGAAGGACCTTCAGACTGGAGGAGTCCAAATTCTCCTTCTCATGCACTGGGCCCCGATCTCAAGACTCGAGGTAACTTGGTCCAGTTAGAGGTCAACAATGTGGAGCGCAGCGTGGAGCTGGTCAATGTGTTTGGAAGTATAACTGGACGCTTTGAGCCTGGTAAGATTCCATATCGGCCACATCTGCACCGTATACCCTAGACAGCACACCAATGATCCCTACATGAAGGTACCTGAGCTGCCAGGAACAACATGTGCACACATGGATCCCTGCTATGTTCAGGACAAAATGACCACAGGAATTCCCTAAACCAAATTGTAATAAGCGGTCATGCCAGTGCAGTGTCCTGTTCTTGGGGTACAAGGCTAAACTAAAGATATATATATATAGAGGGATCAGGACCTCCTTCCTCCCGCTGGGGATCCCTCTAGTGATAGATCTACATAGAGGGATCAGGACCTCCTTCCTCCTGCTGGGGACCCCTCTAGTGATAACTAATGATCTATATAGAGGGATCAGGACCTCCTTCCTCCTGCTGGTGATCCCTCTAGTGATAATAAAGATCTATATAGAGGGATCAGGACCTCCTTCCTCCTGCTGGGGACCCCTCTAGTGATAATAAAGATTCCTCCTGCTGGGGACCCCTCTAGTGATAACTAATGATCTATATAGAGGGATCAGGACCTCCTTCCTCCTGCTGGTGATCCCTCTAGTGATAATAAAGATCTATATAGAGGGATCAGGACCTCCTTCCCCCCGCTGGGGACCCCTCTAGTGATAATAAAGATCTATATAGAGGGATCAGGACCTCCTTCCTCCTGCTGGAGATCCCTCTAGTGATAATAAAGATCTATATAGAGGGATCAGGACCTCCTTCCCCCCGCTGGGGACCCCTCTAGTGATAATAAAGATCTATATAGAGGGATCAGGACCTCCTTCCCCCTGCTGGGGATCTCTGTAGTGATAATAAAGATCTATATAGAGGGATCAGGACCTCCTTCCTCCTGCTGGAGATCCCTCTAGTGATAATAAAGATAATCAAATAGACGGTCCAACATAGGAGGGTTAACACTGCAGGTCAGGACTCAGCAGTCTTCCCACACCTTAATGGAAATACATTGGAGGACAATGAGGTGAACATTTTGGACAACTGGTTCACATGAGGTTTGAAAGAGGTCATCTACGTCAAACTGGAAATCCATCTCTAAACAGGTTGGGGGCCTTCAAAAGTACAACAATTCACACCTTCAGCCCCATGAGTCAAAGGACTAATACATGTCCTAGATTTCATGGCACCTTGGGTTTGGATTATGGAATAAGAATGGGGGCGGGGGCGGGGTGGTGGTCTCACAAACCTTCCAGCCTGTTCTTGGACACTCAACATCTCTCTTGACACGTTCCATGCTGATTGGTTCATTGTGACTGAGTTACCCGTGTGGCCATATGTTGGGGTTTGTTCAGGACACGTATTACAGCTTCTTGGATAAGGAGACAAGTGTCTTCAACATTACAGAACAAGTCCAGCTGAATGTGACCGACTTCCACAATATACGAGGACTAGCGATGAGGGAATCAGCCAAAATTCCAGCTGCCCGGAGTTTGGCGAATCTATGGAAATATTCAAACCAATAATGTTGAATCGAATAGCATTGGACGATGGGCAGTGTTGTGGTGGACCTTTCCCAATGCCCCCAGCCAGTAGCTGAAATGCGAAGTCATATATGCAACAGGGATGCCACAGGCACATGACCCACCAGTGCCCCTTGCCAAGTATTGTGGCCAGTGAGAGCACATGACCCTCGGTGCCCCTTCCTCAGTATGTGGCCAGTGAGAGCACATGACCCACTGATGCCCCTTCCCGAGTATTGTAGCCAGTGAGAGCACATGACCCACCGGTGCCCTTTCCCGAGTACTGAGGCCAGTAGGAGGAAAGGGTCACATGACTGCTATTAAAATACAAAAAGGGAAATGAATAAAGCTTCCTGCACATTTCACACACAGCACAATTCTAGAGGGCCCTGGGGAGGGGGGG